GGCGGGTTGGTGGGTAGGTTCGAGAAGAGGTTCGGATTGGGTAGGCACGCGAAAATGGTCATGGAAATTAGTGTGTTTGATGGTAGATGTCTGTGCTAATGTTTTTTTGTCTGTGCTGATTTTTATTTTTATTTTTTCGAAGGAGGAGATTGTGAAGAAGACGGAGGGACTGGGCACAGATTTTTTCGGTGCCTTTGAAATGATAAAACGACGTCGTCTCGAGCGTTTTTAATCTCATCACTAAAGTCAAATTATCAAATATTTTTTTGTCCACAATATCGTGTCATTTGTCACAATAATCATGCCTTTTTTTCGGTACAATAAAAGAGGCAAGAGGTCCATAAAATATTAGACTAGTACTCGATGGGGGTAAGATACCCTAATAAGATCAAGATCAAGCCACAATCCCATTCCTGTCGGAGGAGAAGACATGCGCTGCAGCCCGATGGAGAAGAAGACGCTAAGCTCGCTATATGGTCCGCCGCAAAGTTAGTCTCCCTATGAACGTGTTGGATCCCGATATCCCAGTCCCTCTGAGTCAGGCTACGAATAGTCGTAACAAGCGAGGCATGAGCCCCACCAACGTCCTCGGTACCAATGACCATCTGCGTCACACATTGACTGGAACACTGCTTTAACCAGGTAAACGAAGTTTCAACTAATACTCGACGGCCGTTCCCAAGAAACCTGCAAACCCTGGAAAAGTCCCCAAAGTTCGGCCCCCGTGATAGTGCAAGCTCCAATATTCATGACGAAACCCTCAACCCATCTCCCCAGCTCATCCCGAATCAAGCCACCCGCACTACTTCGACCCGTATCTTTATCAAAGGCAACATTGATTTTAAAACACCCCAATTGAGGTGGAACTCAACGTATCATCCAAGTGGCATGAGTAGGGGCTCCAACAGTCCCAAGCGTTGTGACGACACGGCCATAGCTACTGGCCAGGTTCATCACCGCCCGACATTTTGAGTCGCAACTGAGGGTTCGTTGATTAAAAATCCGGTCGTTTCACCAGCTCCATACTCGCCATGCCGTGATAGAAAAGACTGAGCCCAAATTGTCAAACGACCCCAGCCGTATCCGAGATAAATTTACGCGAAGCCAGAGCTTCATTGGCAGCTGGAAGAACCCGCGGTGGAAGTCCGGCGGCAACAGTCGGGTCCAAAGGGTTTTAGAGTCGGGGAAATCTCGTAGACGTGTAACAACGACTCGGTCTCGCCGCAGAGGTCACAAGCTGCCGAAGCCGACAGAAAAAATGCCTTTTTTTCACTATAATCGTGCCTTTTTTTCACAATAATCATTTCATGTAGTAAGTTTAATACTAAAAAGAAAAAAGAAATGTGTCATGCGAAACAATGAATTTATCACAATTGTCATGCCTTTTTTCACAATAAATCATGTTATTTAAGTCATGTAATAAGTTGTTATTACTAACAAAAAAATTTGTGTCATGCCGAACAATGTAACTCCTCATTGTACCATTTGTTTATCATATGTCGTGTAATAACTAATAAGTTCATTGACAAAAACATTTTATTTCTTAGACTGAACTTTGTCATTCTTCACAATAACCACGTCGTGTAATAAGTTCAATACTAACAAAAAATTTAGTGGCATGTTGAACAACGTCGTTCGTCATCGTGCAATTTGTTTAGCATGCATTTATCACAATAATCGTGTTTGTTTCTGTGGCGTTTTATATATTGAGTTACGGTTATCGACACACACCCTTTTGGCCGAGCCAGCTCTGTGAGCTTTGCACTTGATTGTATTTCGTGTCATTAAATATATTCTCCTGCCCACCGTGGGCAGTGCCCACTAGTTTGTTTTATATAAAAAACGTATTCAGAATACGTTTTTCAATTTAATTTAATTAAAAAACGTATTCTCAGAATACGTTTTTCATATAAAACAAACTAGTGGACATTGCCCACCGTGGGCAGGTGAGCGGGACTGTTCGTGTCATATTGGTTTTCATTTTGTAACATATTCACACAAGGCTTCATCTTCTCCATGATGATCATGGCTTTCATATTCAGGAAAAACAAAAAAAAAAAAGACTGATTATATAATACCAACAAAAATTCATTAAAGGATGCAATGTGATTAATATAATACCAACAAAATTAGAAAAACCATCCATGCCAATTGCCACTACCATCAAAAGAAGAGATAAACTAACAGGAGATGATTTACGGTCCCGTTACGAAACCATTCTGTCGGGGTTTGTAATCGTTAGATCAACTATCCGCGACGGTCCATAACGGGTACCATTTCTCTCAA